TAAAGTGGAAACTCTTTAGTATGCAATCGTTTTGTCGGTGAATAACTTCTCCATAACGAATAATGAAATCTCAATAACAACCCAAATGTACAGAGAGAAAAACATGATAGATAAAATGGCATCAAACAACTCCCATAATCTTCCTATTTTCTTGGTATCGCATTCGTACGCGATTCGTTGCTTGACGTTAGGTTTTGATGTCGCGCGTCGAATAGTTTCTTCCCTGTTCCTCACCCGTGTGCCATCCCATCCGGCAGCACCAGCCGAATTCATTGATAAGGTTAAATGATCATTCTTTGTTTTTCTGGGACCATGTGAAGACCCACTGGCTAATGAGGCATCCGGATGACCCGAATTTGGGACAATATAAGATCTTGTTCCCTGTGAATTAGGTAATAATGGTGAGGTCTCGCTCATATATATATATATATTTGGACAACTCAAATATAAGAATTTGAATGTTGTGTGGCGAAAGGATGACGAAAAATTCCCTCTTTTAAAAGATACACTGTCATACACACGAATTTTTAATTTGGCATTCAGTGCTACAATGATGGTACACATTGTCCTCGGGTGTTCTTCGAGAAAATTAGCACGTGATGGAATTCGTTCCTTTTCGGTGATTGCGAACTAGAGATATTACACCAACTGCTAGATGCAAAACGATCTCTAACCTATTTATGGTAAGCCCAGTAATGCATGAATGCAATCAAAACATCAGCCATACCCGTAAATAGATTTGAAAGAAAATAAATTTTAGAATTAATTTTCTAGATTGATTGACATACAGGCGCTACCGGCTAACAGTTTAACACTTCTGTTTAATTAATACAGTATATGCAGTATATACAGTATATAGTTTATCTCAGATTTTTTTAATCAGTATTCCACTAAAAAAAAAAAAAATAGATCAATATATCGTATACGCCATTGATTTTTTAAATAGTTTATTGATATATACAATATGCTGACATTAATTACTGTACATTGGATCATAATTTCATTATCTTATTATACTGTAAATGAGATTTAGGTTGCTTTATATGCGTATGTGTTTTGCATATATATATTTTATGAATTCTAAAATTAATTAAAATTTCAAAATTCGATCTCAAAAATAATAAACATCATCATATACAGTATCTTTATAAAGTTATTAAAAACAATAATAACTATTATAATTCATATCATTATTTTTATTTTATATAATATACTGTATATACAGTCTGGCGCAAAAGTCTTTGGATTAATATTTTCTATTATAATTTAATAAATAATTATTGAATTTAAATAAAACTTTAATATTTTTATTATAAAATTATCATAATTATATATTCAAAGTTTTATCAATTATCAATTAATATTTTATTATAAAACATTAATTTAAAGTAAAAGAAAAATTGACAAATTTTATACTGTATATAAAATTTACATATAAAAAATAATAAAAAACATAATTTTTATTATAATAAATTTTTAAAATTTTAAAAATAAAATCAAGAAAAATTTTGAATTTATAAAAAAAAACAATGAATTTTTTTACTAAATACAAATAATTTTTTATAGTTAAATTATTTTTATTATATAAAATTAATTTTCAAAATTTTTATTTTGCTATAATATCTATAATATATAAAATTTCAATTGTAAAAAAATCATTTTGTTAAATTATTTGTTTTTATCTAATAAATATATGATTTTTTTCAAAAGTTTGAATCTATTTACTATATTTTTATTATATATTTCAATTTAACAATTTTTAAATCTTTAATTATGCAATTAAAAATTATAAAATTTATATATATCATATTTTAATGCTTATTTTATTTCTTATATTTTTTTAAAAAAATTTTTTTTATAATTAATTCTTAAAGTTTTATTATTGTTAAATATTTTTATTTTTTTTATTAATTATTAGATGATTTACAATAATAATCAATTAAAATTATTCAAAGTAAAAATTTTATAAAGAAAAAAATTTTTAACAATAATAAAACTTTAAAAATTATAAATTAAAAATTTTTGAAAAAAAATAATAAATAAAACAAGTATTAAAATATAATATACTGTATATAAATTTTATAGTTTTTAACTATATCATATATCATTATAACTCTTTTTACTAATTCTCTGATAATATACAAAAAAGATGTTTGCAATAAGTTTTTATCCTTCTTTACTAATAAAGTCTTACCACTTTCTTTAAAACAACTTGAAATATAACTTCAAGAATTATTATTACCTTTTCTCTACTATCTACAAACCTTTTTACTCAAAAACTTGACTCTAATAATCAAAAAAAGTCAAGTAACACCTTTGATATCAATGGCAAGAAAGTTTCCAAAGAAATAAGAACTGATTTTAAAATATCCAAAAGTCTTTTTAATCTTCGAAAGAGATTCACAGAGATTTTTATAGTTGAAAGGCTTATTTTCTCTCTTTTGAACTATTTTGGTTCTTTTAGAACTCCTATTTTTGGAGTTTTTTAGGAAATTTTGTCTATCTCAATTTAATCTTGAATTTTAGATAACATAAATTTTCATTAAAGATAATTGATTAATTTAGTTTTAGAATATAAACAAGTTTCTATTAATTATACTCATGTATCTCGTCAAATACTACTCTTTAATATATAATTAAATATTAAGAAAGAGAATAATTTTCAAAAAAACTATCTACTATCACTTAGAAAAATAAGAAGAACAAAATACTTAAGAAGATATAAAATAAAAGCAAAGCCTTAAAAGTGTATTAC